ATAGAAGTTTTTAGCAATGATTCTAATTCTTGCACATGCAGTCGAATCGCAAAGTAGTGCAGTCAGAGGTTCGTTTGCAAGTATATCGCGTATTTCCTATAGAAATGCTTTCTTCGTTCATGCTGTTGCTGGAACTTGAATTTCTTGCGAATAATCTGCCAGGTAATGAATCGTGCAATATTGCTCTCTCGCGAAGTGTGTCAATTAGCTTTATTAACGTGAATAAAAACAAATAAAAGACGGCTCTAATTATGCACTGGAGGATAATTAAGTCCGTACAAAGACTTACTTTCTTCGGCCCGTTCTCGCTTTTATATCTAGAACGATCTGTATTGTGTTTAAAATTACTGAGAAAGAGGTACAATGCGATCCGTAAAATTTTACCGGCTGATAAGTTTTATTTTCAATTGGAGAATTGAAAGCCGCAAGAGCAGTTTAGAACAGAACTAAAATTAAATCCTCTGGGTCGTTTACGTCCCACTGAGCGAAATTTCACTTGTGAATTATTTTTTTGAAAAAAAAAGAAATTGTTAAATATTTGACTTAAAAGCTGTTTGTATAATACAAGTTTCCATAATATGCTTGCTTACGAAAGAAAAAAAATGCCAACATAGGCTGAAGTTATGCAAGACAAACAGATTTGATCATTTCGAGAAAATACTTGAAGTTGAAAATACTTACTATCGATAAATTTTATAGTCAGACGAAGAAGAGAAATATCAATAATTTTTAAAATCCACAATGCTCGATAATTCAAGTAATTGATGACATATCCATACAAGAAATTAACATCTCATCTTGAGATATAGCATTCAGCAAGTCCGTTTTTCCTCTGAATTTTTCTTTCCAGCATAATTCATTAAAAAACTGATTTCCCACTACTCGCTTTGTATCTCTTTGCAACGAAACATCTCTCCCGTTTGTGCCAGACAAGCCAATCGTAGACTTACTCGTTCCTGAAGCGGGTACCACTTCGGTGTAGGATCGTCGAAGATTTTGTTCTCCAATGGCATTCGAACCTCGCCGAGGAAATCGTTGCGTCCAAACATGTCTGAATGCCAAACCGTGAGCCACAGGGTTCTGGTCTCTAGGCCGCTCAGACTCATGTGGAACTGAAATGTCGTGGTGTGGCGAACCATCCAAGCTCTAACTCTCATGCAGGAGCAAAAGGAAAGGACCAGGCAGCAACGTTTCGATGCTCAAGACTGATCGCGAATGGAAAATCTTACCTTCAACGTCTCGTTAAACTCGGGATTCAGCGTGTGTTTCTTCACCTTTGTCTTTCGTTTGCCGCTCTTCGACTTGTCCGGCAGTAAGTACACTTT